TATCCCCTGGGCCTGCTGATCTTTTGCAGGCAGGAAGGTAGCACTTGAATGTGCAGCATTGCAAAGGCTTGTGCCCGTGGAACAAGACATTTATTGCAATATATTCTCTAAAGCTGTTAGAGGGAGCCCTGCTTCCGTCACCAGCCACAATTATTCCTGCAAGTGTCACAAGTGCAGTTCCCACACACACTCAGTTTTTTAATCGAAGTACTTGGCAATAAACCACCAAACACTTCAGGGAGATTATTTATCCAGACAGAAAGCTCCATGTCCTAAATAGCTAATCAAAGCACGCGTGATGGAAACCAGGAGATACCTGGGCACTGGCATGATCAGCCTGGAGGCAGAGGGTCACACCAGAGCCTGGCGGGCCCACGGAGCCTGTTAGCAGGGACAGTGCCACGTGTGCCTCCAAATTGCCTGGGAAACAAACCAATAACATAACAAGGCACTTCTCTAGATTTTACACTGCACGCATGGGGTTTTTGTGAGACACTTCATAGCCTCCTAATTCCTTCTGTTTACTTTTGGTCATTATTTTTGAAGCACAAAATATAGCACTCCACTTCTCTCTTAGACCTCTCAACTGATGTCTCTACATCACTACCATAATCCCCTTTCAAGAATTTGAACAAGCAAGCAGCTGTGCCTGTTGCATTTAAGAGATATATTTTTAAGAGCACTGTTGTTTACAACATGAGCGCGTTCCTCTCAGCAAGCAGTCCTACTACAGTAAACATCTGCCTCTGCACCCAATGGTTTAGGATGTATTTAAGGTACCAAATTAGTATATCATAAAAATGGTTTCAGGGCTTGGGTTTTTTTTCAGTCATCCCAACTAAACCAAGTTAATTAGGCTTCTATATTTTTCCATTCATTCACCATTTTGAAAATAATTCTATGCATTAATACATAATAAAGTAGCTGAATTACTAGAACGACTTATGTTACTTTATATCATGTTCAACAATTTACACGGCAATGAGTTAATGTTTAAGTAATTACATATGTAAGCATCACAGCTCCTTCCCTTGAATGAGTTCTTGCTGGTGTAGGCTGAGGCTGGCCAGTACCAAACAGGCACGATAAAGTGTTTACAATTTCTCATGGGAAGCAAAGTCCAAAACTAGGGCAGGGGGTGAGGATGTCAGATCGAATTTAACTATTTCCATTCCTTTCCTTTTATCTTCCTATGAAGAAAGTGGAGCAGCTGACCTGGCTGATTCCCAGGATCCCAAGGACACAGGAAAGGCCCAGCTGTGGCTGATGACACGGGCCCCACAGGTGTGCCTGGACTGCCAGGTGCCAAGCCAGGGCTTTCAGCTCTGAGACCACCTTCCCAGAGCAGGGCTCCTGGGCTCCAGGCCTGCAGGGCAGTGCTGGCCTTCCTGCAACTTGCTGGCAACTGGCATCCAGAAAACTAAATGTGCCATTTTCCTGCTGCCTGCCCACATCTGGGCACGGTTTATCGGGAATCACCCACCTGGGGCCATGCTGTGATCTCAGAAATGCTCATTAGTTCATGGCCTTGACGAGCAGCACCTCGAGGGCTGAGCTCCCCTGAGTACCAGAGACATTGTCTGCTCCCAGGATCTGGTGCTGGCTAATGTCAGGTCCAGGTGGGTGAACATTTTCCTTGTGGAACATTCAGAGAAAGCTGCCAAGCAGAATTGCAATCGGGACGGAACATTGCTATAACACTGTGACCCTACAAACACTGGTCCTAGGTGAGTCCTTCCCTGAGCTGGGGAGCATTTCCCACAGGGATGAACCTGTGCAGGAATTGTGCACACCTGAGCAGGCTCTGGCTCCGTGGGTGTGTGACTGTGAATGTGCTACAGCAAATGGAGCAGGAATGTTGCTCTCTGATTCCTAAATGCACTAGATTTGTAAGTCAGGCCTGTGAGTTACTGTCATGCTTCTAGTAAATTCTACAGTCCGTTGTTAAATTCTTTAAATTAGGCTATTAATTCAGTGTATCTATGTTTAAGTGATGTTAAAATCTTTAGGCCTATAGCTGTGGTCAAGTCTGAGGCTACGTTTTGCAGGGAGATCCACTCTGAACCCTGTAACTCAGTGACAGGGTCTCCCTTATCCCTTTGCATGCTCACCTTTTCCCATTCTTACTCTTTCTCCTGTCCTCAGCCTCCACATATATGACTTTCATTTGATTTTAATTGTAGATAGATTGAATCTAGACTTTGATCTCTGCTTGAACTCTGAGTAGCAGAGTGAAGCATGCCAGTGAACTTTGTTGCACTTTCACTTTTGTGTTAAACCTGATGCGGCAATGCCTTTTCCAGTCATTCATCGAGCAACCTAAAACATCCATTTGTGACAAACATTTTTAGATAATTAAAAAATTAATATTAGAATCCTGTGACCATTAAACTTTCTCCTGGTACATATCCAGGTAGCTCAACTGCCAGTGAAGTACAGGAGAGGGTTATCAAGATGTGTCATAAAAAAATATGCCATGTGCATATGCAAACATCTTCTGTGGTTTATAATAAAATGTGTTGCCTGCTCTGGCTTTCCACTCTCCTTCACTTTTAGCAGGAACTTCTTGATACCAGTAGTTGTTTTTCTATCCAACGAAGAGTATCCATGGTGATGTTTATAAGAAAAAAATCTAATTATCTTCATAAAAGTGTTCTTCCAAGAGCTGGTTTGAAATGCGGGGTTTTTTTGGGGTTTTTTTTTTGGTCAATGATTCATGTTGGCTATCAAGCTCAACAGCACAATGCAGGCAAGGATGGAAGGAGGAATAAGAGAGGGGACATTTAGAGCTGCAAGAACTAAGAAGTGGTACTGTTTCAGCAGCAGGAGTGCTGGTATATACACAAGTGTACAGTGCCTCTCCATCTCACAGAATTAACCCAACAACAGGACTGTGAAGAGCAGTAAACTCCTCAAGAGTGGGTGCTCAGTACACACGCTTCTCCAAGGCTGCATGGCAAAGACTGGGTATTAAGAATGTGCATGAGGTAGGGGAGAAAAGAAAGCAACGATAGTTAAAATCTTACCACGAGCAAAAAAAGCCCCAGAACATCTGTGGACATTCTTCCAACTTAGTTTTTGAAAGAGAAGGTTAAAGAGTGACTGAGGAACCTGCCCTTGGACTGTTGTTTGTCTTAGTGGCTTATTCATACCATTTATCCAGCTCTTAGTCATGATGGCTTCTCATTGATCCTGACGTGCACTTTTAAAAAACAGCAAGGCACAAACCCCCTTCACACTGCTCCTGGAACCTTCTCTCCCTGTGATGCCGAGCTGAGTGCTGTGCAGCTGGGTGCTGTTGTGCGGCCCTGGTGGCTCGTTTGGCTGCCAGCTCAGCCTCACCTGCCCTGCTGCACTCACCTGGCGGCTGTGTGCTCACACAGGCTCGCAGAGGGCTGCCTGCAGGGTCTCACGCAGCCCCGTGTGAGCAGCGAGGATGCCCTGCCAGGTGCCCTCCAAGAAACCCCCCTGGAGCCTCTGGGGACCATCAGGAAGGCTGTGGCTCACACATGTGTGAGAGAACACCCCGTGAGCAGCACCAGAGGCACCCAGCGTCTGCAGAGAGCCCAGCAGAGCGCAGGGATGGGAAGGGTCAGGCTGGCTGCTGCAGAGCAGCCGTGCTTGCGTGACCTGCAGACCTCCTGCCATGAATCCAAGGAAGACGTGGGCAGGGCCCGCCTGGATTTCTGCAGAGAACATCCTTGCACTGTGTCCCAGAAGATGCCCGCAGGCATTCTGCCAGAAGCGAAGAGGCTCAGGCAGCTGCTCCTGGATAGCCTGGAAGAAACAATGCCCAGAAGGGGTCTCACTGCTGTACACCAGAGGAGAATGAACACACGGCACAGCTGCATCCTTCCAGCAGCACTGCGTGGCAGGGAAAGAGCCAAGGGGCACAGACTGAGCCAAGGCTCTCCCTCTGAACCCCGCGAAACCCTCTGTCACTGTGAGGGTGACCCAGCACCAGCACGGGCTGCCCAGAAAGGCTCTGGAGTCTCTGTCCTTGGAGGCATTTAACAAATGGTGGCAGGGTGTTCCTGGGTGATCAGGAGGCTTGGACTGCATGGCCTCCAGAGATCCCCTCCAGCCTCAACCAGACCGTGTTTGTGTGGAGGTGTCCTAAGCTTGCATGGAAACCAAGAAGTGTCTTTGACTGTGCTTTGAAATTTCACAGGATTCTAGCCTGTGAAACTAACCAGGAATTACTGCAAAGTCAAACTTGGTCACACCTGAGGGAAGCATCTCCTTGGGCTCAGCTTCCTCTTTGCCCCTTAAATCCTGCCCTGGGTGGCTGGTGAGGAAGGTGATCGGTGGGTTGTTCCTCCGTTGGCTGCACCGGCAGGAGACCATAAAGCACAGCAGGGAGCCCTCGGTGCTGCCTCTGTCCGGAGCAGCCGCCCCCGCCAGGGCAACCCCGAGGTGCTGCGGGCTGGGGGCATGAGAGGGGCCGGGGCTCAGGAGGTGTGGGGTGACGGGGAGTGCGGGGCTGTGAGCTGTGGGACAGTGTGAGAGAAGGGGGGTGCAGCTGTGAGGGTGCGTGGGGTGACAGGAGGGCTGAGGGGTGGGCAAGAGCAGGGTGGTGTGGGGTCTGAGGGGTGTGTGGGGTCTGACAGGGCTGAGGGGTGTGTGGGGTACAAGGAAGGTGAAGGGTGTGACGGGTGTGTGGGGTGTGAGGAAGGCTCTGAGGGGTCTGAGGGTGTGTGGGGTGTGGGATACAAGGAGGGTGAAGGGTGTGCGGGGGGTGTGGGGTGTACGAGGTCTGAGGGCTGTGTGGGCTGACACGGGTGTTTGGGGTGTGAGGGGTATCTGGGGTGTCCGCGGTGTTGGGCTGTGGACGTGGAGGGGGGTGAGGGGCAGCCGCTGCGGGCAGCCGCGGGCTGCTGAGGGTCTTGAGGGTGCGAGGGGACCGAGCAGAGCGTGAGGGCGCGGATTTGGGTCTGGGGGAGCAGCCGTGGGGCACGGGGGCCCGCCGAGGCCGAGGGCGGTGCCGGGGGCGGTGCTCGCTGTCCCGGCGCTGCCGAGTGTCCCGGTGTCGCTCGGCGCCGCCGGGAGCGCCAGGAGCGGCGGCTCCGTCCCGTCCGCCCGCAGCGGAGCCGAGCGCGCAGGGAACGGCGCTGCCGCCTCGCCGCCGACAGCGCGGTAAAGTATTTGAACTAATTCTCGCAGCCTTCAGCTCGTGCTCGTGGTGTTTGCGTGTCGCTGTGTGTGCTCCTCTGTGCCGAGAACTTTGCGGTCCCTGCTCTTTCCCGGCTGCGCTCGGGGAGCCCTTTAGAGCCGCCAGGTTGCGAGTTGTGGTGGAAACTTTGGGGTGGTGGTGGTGCAGCAGTTTTGGCAGCGTTGGAATGGTAATTTTTGTAAATCAGTAGTAACTCGTACGTGGTAAATTTGAAGTAGCAAAACAAGTTTTTATTACCCTGAGTGAATTTGCCAGGTTTAATGTGTGTATGAAGAACCATAAAAATACCGAAGTGCTCATGCTCTTTGAGTGTGAAAGCTTTTTTCCGAGATGAGAATCAATGACAGTTTCACTGGAATGATTGTAGACTCTCTAAACACAACTGTGAGAGCCTGTTTAACTGTGAGGGTGCTGAGGCTCGGAGGGCAGGAGATCTGGCTCTCTCATTAAACAGGTGAGGAATACTTTGCAAAGACTCCTTCATTCATATCATGCATTCATGACACTGTTGCCTGTGTTTATTTGTTATAACGTCGATGGGCTCTTTCCCCCTCAGTGCTGTGATTAGACTATTAGATTCAGAACCAGGTTTTCATACTATGAGGTGCCTGGTGCTATTTTGTCTCAGAGTACTTTCCAGGACAATATTGCTGTTTGAAAACAAAGCTAAGCACTTTGTAAACAGCACTGTGCAGGAATATTATTTGCACAAGAATAAGAGGGATTTGTGGGTGATTTGACAGACCAGCCTATGATTCAGTGCCACACACTGAGTTCTCTAAGTTCCTCATTCCTCAAACTGCTTTAAAGCTTGAAGCTGCTTTCAAAGTTTGCCTTCACAGGTGAGAGGCACCTGTGTCAGTCCCGATAGCTTAGGAACTCTTGGAGTGCCTCTGACATGGCAGTTAATTCCATTTAGGAATGCTGTGTAGTCCCAATCTGTTCAGCACTGATCTGCGATGAATTATCCAACAAATTGCTATTTTAGGGGATCTGCCTGGCCGGGGGTCTCTCACTTCAAGACACCCAGCTGTGGGGTTTTTGGAGCAGGTTGTAGCCAGTCCAGGTGTGATATGATTAACAGATGAAGCTGTGGCTGTCACCCAGCACTCGGGAGTGTGTTCTGCACTGTGTTGTTCCAGTTGTGAACCTGTAACTCTTTTGGTGGTACAGCATCTGATTCCGGGGTACTTCTGTGTTTCTCTTCCCCATTTCATGAATCTTCTCTTCACTTTTCTCTGCACAGAAACATCTCAGGCTTTCTCCAGGCAAGTTCATACCTGCCAGCCCCATTTACTCCCAACTTTCCAACTTCAGCTATTGTCTTAGGTCAGCCTTCCCCCCTCAGACCAGCAGTCCTGCTGAAGTTGGCAGAAACAGCGAATTTCAGCAACAGGAGGGGTTAGAGGAGATGTCACAGCAGCAGCCTCACCCTCAGCCCTGACCTGCTGCACCACTTCAGGTAGCAATATTCTCTCTCCATGCCTGTTTAATATTTAATGTTCTTTTGGCCATAAAAGGTGTTTCTGCAGATGGAAAGGCTTATGTAATAAAAGCTATATCCCATCACGTAAGTCAAGTGAGCAGTTAAGTATCAGAGGAGCTTTAGATAAATAGGAAAGAAATGTAAAATCACCAACAACTTCCAGGAAGGTCAAAACCAGGGGAGGACACAACCAGAATTCTAACATGTGCATTATCTACCAGGTATTTCTTTGCAGTTTCCCTCTGGAAACCTAAATGCACAAATTGATTGGATATATTTATAAAAGATTTACAATAATCATGAATACATTACTTGCCAAAAGTACACATAAAAATCATAACAATGATTTGCACTTCAGTGAAAGCTGAGATAGACAGTACTGAGTTCTGTACTTTTATTATAATGGAGTGATTCCCTAAGTAATTTCAATGCCATTACCTTTTAAAAATGTTTTATCAAGACAGAGGGGTGAAAAAAACAAGCCACCAGTCAAAGTCAGATTTCCTCCCCAGATTTCCAGGTAGTAAATCTGACTCTCATTTTTTTTTGCTTGTTGGGCTTTTGGAACAAAGTATGTTGAGATTATGCTTCAAATTTGGTATTCAGAGTAAAACAGAATAAAATTGCTGCTTCTCAGGTACTCACCAGAACATTACTAGTGTGTTTTCAGTGATGAATAAAAATTATTAATGAATTGCCTTTATAGTTAAACCAGTGAAGCATTTTTATTTCTCTAGAAACACATTGTAAATAAATTAATGTAATCATGTAATGCATATCTAATCTTGTATTGGAACAATATTGCTCTGCCAGTCATTAAAAACTGACATTTTTTTTTCTCTAAAGGTTTTCCCTGCACACAGGTAAGCAAGCACAAAGAAGACAAAGAAGTTTCAGTTGCGTGTCTGCAGGTATACATTCTTATATGACTGTATATTGTTATTTATGTGATGTATGCTTAATGTTAATTAAGCTCTTAATTTTTGTTGTGAAACCTCCTGATTCTGTTTGATGTTGTCAAATGTTTCTTTTGTTGTAGGGCTGATACTGTCTGCTCAGGCAGAGGACTGTGTACAGGACAGTCAAAAACTAAGAAGGTGACAGCCATGCTTTAATCTTAAATAAATACTATCATTATATTGAAGGGGTTTTTTTAAGTTGTTAGCACATTTGTTGTAAGTCTAAAGGGTGGGAAAACCTTTCTTCTTTTCTTCCCTTCATATTTTTTTCACTAAATACGAGGGCGTTTCCAGGAGCAATTAGCACAGTCACACCCTCTGTTATTTTTCCCCATTTCCTTCTCTTTCTGCGGGGGACCCGTGTGTTTGGGGGGCAGCGCGGTGTGGCTGTGAGGCCAGGGCAGGTGCAGAGCAGGACGATGGAGGCAGCGGACGTGCCGCCCGAGGGCTACTCGCTGATCAAGGCCGTGTACCAGCGGCGGCTGCGGCTGACGCGCCTGCTGATCGACGGCGGGGCCTACGTCAACGAGAGCAACAGCCGCGGCGAGACCCCGCTCATGGTGGCCTGCATGACCCCCCACGCCGACCTGCAGAGCGCCAGCAAGGCCAGGATGGTCAAGTACCTGCTGGACAACAAGGCTGACCCCAACATCCAGGACAAGTCGGGGAAGACGGCGCTGATGCACGCCTGCCTGGAGAAGGCAGGCCCCGAGGTGGTGTCGCTGCTGCTGCTGAGCGGGGCTGACCCCAGCCTGCCCGACCACTCCAACTGCTCTGCGCTGGTCTACGCCATCAACGCTGCCGACAGAGACACCCTGGAGCTGCTGCTGAAGGCCTGCAAGGCACGAGGGAAAGAGGTGATCATCATCACCACAGACAAGTCAGCCTCAGGGAGGCAGAAAACAAAGCAGTACCTGAACGTGCCTCCTCCAGACCTCGAGGAGTGCACCTCCCCAGCTGACTGCACCTCCCCGTCAGAGATAGAGCCGAACGAGGGTCCAGAAGACCCATTCAGCTTTAAAGAGCTGTATGGTGGGCAGCCGGGGGACAACTCCTCTGAAAGGGTGCCACTAATGAGCAAATCCAGCTCCACACCAGCACGGTTCAAGCTGACGCAGGTGCTGCAGTGTGATCCATGGCTAAAGTGCTGTCCAGCAGTGTTTCAGCAGAGGAAAATTCCTTCTCCTCAAGAACTTCGGAGTATCAGTCCCATGGAAGAGCTCTCCTGTAAAGTCAGTGACCTTGACTTATGCAAGAGTGTCAGTCACGAAAGCAGAGACAGGAAGGGCACTGCTCAGGTAGTGAGAACCTCTGACCAAACCATGTCAAGGAAAGCACTACGCGATGCAATAAACTATCAGACTCCTTTTGTTGAAGAGAAACATAACCCCAGTGAGATTCCCATGGGCATGGATGCCAGTTTGGGACAGATCAGCTTACTTTCAAACCTTGGCAGTATTATCAAGAAAGGAAGCGGAGAACCAAATTACAACATCTCCAGTTCTCAGTTAGCTAACACTCTAATTCCTGCTGCTGATACCAAAGGTAGTAAGTCACCAAAAGGAAATAAAGAGATTCTTCCTACGTACCAGACTTTGTTACCAAGTCCGAGAAGAGTTCTGGAGATGTCTCCTCTTTCTCCAAGAGGCAGAAATCAGGCTCCTCTAGAGGAAGAGAGCTCAGGAGCCCTAGTGCTGGATCAGACGAGGCCAGGTTTTCTGCCTCCACTGAATGTGAGCCCCCGCCCCCCAGTCCCAGAGCTCACTGTCATAAACACAGTTTCTGGAATGATTTCTTATGGACAAACTCACTTAGTGCCCCCAGGATCTGCCTGCCCTAAGGGGACCAAAGAGACGAATCTGCTGCGGCGGAGGCCGTATGAGCAGATCACAGTCTGAGCAGATTCAGCAGTTACTGAATCTTTACCAGGAGAGCAAAGGGGATCTTTATGATATGTAAATATTCACTGCAGTCCTTGACTGTAATGGTATGTATCACAAAATAGAGCAGGTCTGTGATGTAAAGTAATGTCTGCCTCAGGATGAGTGCTACAGCTCAGAAACTAAAAGAAAAGACATCGAATGAGGCTGTCTTCTGCAGAATAAGGAGTGTTTATTTTGCTGGTTTTGTAAAGTTTTCAACTTGCCTCTGGCAGACAAACCACAACAGTCCGTAAGCATTGCAGTTCTCATTGTAGGTTGTAAATACTACCCCTGCAAGCTTTCCCCAAACACACGCCCTTGCAGCGCCCAGAGAGGTGGTGCACACGGACTCCGGGACCCCGAAGCGTTTGGCTGTGATGCTGGACAGCGGACTGCCCGTGTCCAGGTTGTATATAGAAACCCCAGAGACCCCGGCGTGTGGCGGGGTGGGCGGCAGCAGGCGCACGCCGGCGGTGTCTGCTGGCCGCAGCAGCCTCGCAGACACGTCAGAGCTGGTGACACTGCTGTCGCCGGGCTGTGCAGCCCGCAGAACCGCGGCTGCGGGCTGGCAGCCTTCTCCGGAGCCCGGCTGGCCCCGGGAGCCGGCGGTGGCAGCCCCGGCGCTCTGCCGCGCTGCCGGGAGCCCGCAGGGCGAGTGACCTGCCCGGGGTGTGCCACAAGCCAGCCCCGCTCAGGCTGTCCCCGGGCAGCCTCCGGAATCCGCTCCCTTGGGAAAAGCGAGGCTGCGGGGGCAGAGCCTCACCTGGAACGGGCTCTGTAGCCGCCTGCAGCTCTGGAGCCCCCAGAGAGAGACCTGGCCGGCAGGCTGGGCAATCTGCCCCAGTGACAACCGGGGTGCGACACCGGGACACACCCAGGGTGTCTGCACGAGCAGGGGCACTGCACACACACACATTTGGGAGCAGGGAAGAGCTCTGTCCTCCCGCTCAGACAAACCCAAAAAGGATAAACCCACAGCTTCAGGGAAGGTGAGGCCCTGGCACAGTTTCCCCAGAGAAGCTGTGGCTGCCCCATCCCTGGGAGTGCTCCAGGGGCTTGGAGCCCCCTGGTCTGGTGGAAGGTGTCCCTGCCATGGCAGGGACCTTGGAATGAGATGGCCTTTTATTTCAGATGGTTTCCAACCAAACCACTCTGTGGTCCCTGTGAGTCTAATTATGAAACTCACCTGGGAGATGGAAACCCACATTTTGTCTCATTGGAAACAGAGGGCAGAATTTCCCACAAGTGGAATGCCGTCCTCTGCAGCCTCCGAGCTACTGTGTGTTTTTAAGTATCTCTATCTAAAAATCTTTCTTTCCTTTAGTGTCTTGTGATTCCAAGTATCTCCCTTGTCTTTGTGTGCATCCCATAGATGCTGGATTTCTGGTATTGCATTTAGCATTTAGATCTCATCTTCTAAATGATGAGAAAAAGTGAATGTGTTCTATTTTGTTGTAACTTACAGAAATTAGTTGTACTGGAATTGTGTCTGTGTAATGTGAATTTCAGTATACTGAAATGAGGTATTTATTTCCTGAAAATACTCAGTGGGTATGTTGCAGCTTCAGTCAAAGTTCACCATATCTGACATTGCCTAAAAAAAGCCTGTAATGTTATGTAGCTTTGCACTTAGTAGGAGACAATTTAACGGGGATCTTAAGTATAAAACAGTGCTAAGGGGATCTTAAGCATAAACCAATTTAGAGAGGATCGGAGACATAAAACAATTTGAAGGGGATCACAAACATAAAAATATTTAATGGGGATCATCACCATAAAACAATTTAATGGGGATTCTAAACATTAAACCATTTAAAGGGGATTACAAACATATACACTGTGTAAATAACTTTTTGAGAGTATTTGTTTCCATTCAGGTTCTGCCTTTTCCTTCAGGAGATTTTCCTGGATCAGGCCCTGTGCACACCAGGTAAAAAAAAGAATTATGTGGACATATTTTTATGATCCAGAAATTACGTGGAACAACAAATGCCAGTATTAACTGAATACAAATTAGTCCCTACACAGAATACACTTTCCAAATGTTTTGATGATAATACAAAAGGAAATGGCAAGTTCTCATCTGTTCATCTCACCATGAAGTTTAAATATTTGAAGGGGAAAATAGATCTTTAAAAGAAAATTTCTTTCTTAGAAGAAATTGACTATCACCAAGTGTTCTAACTGGTATATTTGCTGAGGGTATAAAGCCCCATTTATGCTGTTTTGATTTGAAAATTAATTATCTATATGGGACTATGGCTCCCTTAAATGAAACCGTAATTTTTCTATGAAGTGCTCAGACAATGGAGGGAAGTAGCAAGCGTCTTGAAAAGGGAAGTTTTTTGGTAGTGTTACTGGTATTTTGTGATTAATTGTGATGCAAAGTAGTGTGAAGTGTTCATGTTATTGCTTGTGTTACTGTTACAAGTGACCTTCAAAGGAAGAAGCTTTGTTCTCTTGCTGTTGTTATGCTGAATAAATAAAAGTTATTTTTCCCCCCTCAGAGGGAACATGGAAATAAGCACATGCTTTTATTCACTACTCAGGAAATGATGAGTCATTGCAAAAGGTACTCACTCAGAAGTGTTTCTCAGGCTGCCTCTGTACAAGAAAATGGGCACAGTTACTTCGATTTAATCCAATACAGCTAAATTTGTCCAGAGTGTGGTGCGAGAGAGGCTCTTCCCACCTGCCGGAAGCTTCCTGTGGCTCCACTTGTGGAGCAGAGATGCACTTGTGTTATCTCTGAAGCCTTAATCCATGACATTTCCCAGCCACCCCGATGTTCTTTTCAGCACAGCGCGGTCAGCCCGACCCGAGTGCCTGACGCTGACTCCTGGGTTAAAAACAAGCCCTTTCGGTGTCCTCGGCGCGGGGGGCTGTGGCCCCACGGCTGCCGGTGACACCGCGGTGACACCGCGCTGAGCGACAGCCACGCTCCCCCCGGGCGGAAAGGATTTCAAACCCACCTGCCTGCCGGGGAAAGGTGGGAAACAATTCGGGATTTTTCCTCCTCGCCTTCGTTTTCTCTGCAGAATGCTGTGAAACCACACAATGAAAGTAACTTCAAAACAAATAGTGGCGGCTTCACAAAAAGCTGTGATTACATAAGAATTCCCATTATTTTGGTTTAAGAGATTTAAGAACAGCCAGTCACTACGCAAAAATGTCATAAACTAGCAGTTTTCAAGGTTGTGTTTAAGGTGCAATGTTCAAAATATAGACTTCAAAATATCGTTCCCTGCACATTTAATTTAGTTTTGCTTTTAAGAAGTAATTGCTTTGTTTTGATCTTTGTCTTTTACAACTGCATGGCACTTCCAAAAGAATATTGCCACAATTTGATGCAGCTATAAAAGAAAAACAGTAAACTAAGTAGGCACTAAATTTCCTTTTTTCTCCTCATCAATCCCATGTCAGACCTTTATCTCTCTGCGTGCCATATACAGCAGAACTAATTACTTTCCCAACTAAAGCAAGGGATTTATAAACAAAGATTCTTACATTTTCACTGTAAGGTATTACTGCACTAACTTCAAGGAAATCAGGTTTCATCACGAAGCACCTTAGGAAAGCTCAGAGGGGTTTTCAGAGTCAAAGGGATAACATTCCAACTGTCATCACTAAATATTCCCATAAAACACCCAGCTGTCAGCCCTCTTGGAAAGACAACAGGTTTTTACTCCTGCACACAAGTTGACCTTTATTGTAAAAAAGCTCCCCAACATACAGATACATATACACACACATATATATGTATATGTGTCAATATGCACAATTCCTGTTTCTCAGCAGCACCTGTTACCTGAGCCAGGCTTGTCCTGGGCTGATGACGCAGGCAGCTGCAGAGCTCGTGTTAATCCAGGGGTTTTGTCCCCAAAATTATGCCCAGCTAGTTTAAAATTATCCTGGGATCTCATGGTGAACATCAGAGATATTTTTTAGAAATATACGGGGAGCTATTTATTCTGAAGTTCCTGAAGCCCAGACACAGAGGCACGCTGAGGAACTGCAGTAAATTCCTGTATTTTTTCCCCGAAAGCATCAGCAATTTTCATCACTTTCATGCGAGTTTTGCAGAGGGAGGGAGTTCAGCCTGCCTTCTCTCAAAAACGTGTTGATTTTTAAAGAAAAACCTGACCTGTACAAATATTTTAAAACTACATTAATATCTCACTGCCAGCCCCACAGCAACACATTTTATTTCAGGAGAGCATCTGAATAAACACAGAGAAGCAAAATCAAATTAATTTATTTATGTGCAAGTCATATTAGACTGTCATAAACAACTTCACAGGGGACTAGCAAAGATAAACAGGTAAAAGTACTTACAGAAATTCATATATATAGATTCATCCATACAGAATAATCATATTCACCACACAGACATTTCCTGGTAATCCAGATGATGTCTTCTTTAATTTTACCTGATTATCCTGTTTACTGACATCCACAGATACTGCTCAGATGTACTTCTTCCTTAAAAATACTTCTCCAATTGCTGATGTTTTTTACTTAATAGTTTAATGAGTTGTTTTAACAAATCCCAGTACTTCAGGTGGGAACTGGTCAGTGGGAGGATTTCTAAACAGCAGAAAAATGTGTCCCTGTGGTCCAAAGAGGCCTACCACTGAGAGATGAAGTCCTGCAAATCAATGAATGCAACTGCCTGCAGCAAACCACAACTGAGAAATGAATCCTTCTCCAAACTCACCACAGAAATCACACAGCCAAGCCTGACCCTTTGGTGGTTACTGGCACTCACTTTGTGAGTGATTAAATTAAATCAAGTACTCTGTTTAGCTACCCCAAAATCAGGTAATTGTCTTCTTTATGTGGAAAAATTTGTTCCTAATTTTAGTCAAGCACACCCCAGTAGATGGCCAAAATGAAGAAAGCTCTACCCCTCAATAACAGAAAACACCTATTAGATAAATCTCTCAAACGAGTTGTAGGTAACAAAAGGAAGTCTTGAATTTTAATGTGAGATCACGATAATTCAAGATTTAGCATTAAGAAATGTAGCTACCTTTTCTATCAATCACAGCTGTATCAATGCCATGTAAGAGCCAAAAATTACTGTAACTTACTGGAGTACTAACAGCTTGTAAAATGTTGTGTACACTGTCTGTTAGGTTAACAGATGAGTTAATAAAATTCCCACAGGAATCATGTGATGGGAAAACGAAGACAAGAAGTTGACAAAGTAATGCTTCTCAAGGCATTAGCTGTGATTCAGAAGCTAAAATGTCCTCTGTGATTGTGGAAGAAAGCTTTGGTTTTTCTGGTATCGTTTGTGGTGTTTGGCAGAAGCCGATCCCACAGGGCCTGTGTCTCAGTCTGTGTGAATTTTGGGGAATTGCAGCAGCAAAAGAGGCAATGAATGATTTCAACGAACCAGGTCAGGGTCTTCCTGCAGGTGTTATAGCAGGGGTTTGGCTTTTACTGCAGGACATTTCCACTGTGGAGGATTCTGAGAGCTGCAGGGCTGCACAGGCCCAGTGACGGCCGAGGGCCTGAGAGCCACGGGGAACGTCCCTGCAGCCCTGGGGAATGTCCCTGCAGCCCGGGGACAGCCCTGGGGACAGCCCTGGGGAATGTCCCTGCAGCCCTGGGACAGCCGAGGTGTGGGGACAGCCTTGGGGACAGCCCAGGTGTGGGGACAGCCCTGCTGGGAACAGCTGAGCCTGGGGACAGTGCTGCCACTGCTGCCACAGCCAGCCCAGCTCGCAGCACCAGCCAGGGCTGCTCCCTGGCCATGGCACAGAGCAGAGCAGCTGGCAGTGCCACCCTCCCCTCCTGGAGCAGGGACAAGGAGGAGGGCACTGCATTTCTGCCGGAGAGGCCTCCCTACACAGTGCCACACAAAACTGCTCCAGGTACACAGGCGTGCTCCACACGCTCCTTCTGGCACGGACACTGCCTGGCTTTGAACAAAAACATCCTCACATTTACAGGGGCTCACAGTAAAAGCACTACAGAGTCAGACACTGCCTGCTTTGCATTTACTACTCTATTCCTATGGCTTTTTTGAATTCAGAATTTTGTGGCTCAAAAATGTCATAATAAACCCTACTTTTATCAAAATTGTCTCGGATGAGAAGCAAGTCTTCTAGAGAATACATGTCCTCCTTTCCTGTCCAAACAGTGAGGCTGTACCTATGTCCAGAACAAGGGAGAAAACAACACAACAAAGAGAAAACAAGTATGTTAGGATAAAGCATGTAAACCAGAAAGACATTGCACTAATAGACTCCTAAAAATACTCAGGATTACAGCATCCTAACTTTAGAAATGTAATGAAATACAAACAACTGCACCCCCAGACCAATTTATCTGTGACTGTTCTGCCAAACCTCAGAGGGATTTAAATAAAGAACCTCAGGTAAATATCCAGCACAGAAATTTACCAGAAAAAGCATTTCAGTTTTGATAAATTAATCAACAGTCACAAACTGAGCCTCAAAACAGGAAATATGATGCAATCCCAGACACAGGTGATTGTTGTGCTCTGTGCCTTGTCACATCAGCGATGTGTAGAGATGCCACCTAACCCAACTCTCATTAATTGCACAGAACTTCTCAAAAAACACTGAAATACACCAAAGCATTATTCAGTTAAAGCACGACTTCCACATCCTCCACATGACTTATATATTCAGGTTTTCCCCTTTGTTTAATAAAACTGTATTTATTTTAAAAATTCATAAATCAGAATTCAGCTATATGTGAGTAAAACTGGCTCAGGAATGTCTGTCTTCTAATGCCACTGAAGAACCCCCTTGATTGTTGTGAGGTAAAAGAGAAAATCTGAATATTTCAGTGACAATAATGTTTGTATCCAATGATATTTGAGATTGACACAATTCATACGATACATTCTTAATGCAATAATATTTTTAAATAATTTTCCCAGTTTTAACAGCTTAATTCTAATTTCTGTCTTCAGTCTTCATCAGAAAAAAAAATAGTATTAGCACTTTATTTGCCTACCCTGTTGTTCTGAATAATTAGAAATTTTTCGGAGATTCCCTTAAGTTTTCTGTCATGGGCTTTGACCTTGGCTGGAACAGTTTTATTAAACTCTGGGTAGGAAAAGCGGTTGAAAAAGATGAGTAAATAAATGGCAATATGTGGGAAGCTGGTTTTATTCTCATTCTATTACATGTGAATAATTTTTATAATTAAATGGTTAGGGATTGGTAAGAATGATTTCTAAAGGAAAATATAAGTTCCTGTATGAAAACCACTGAATACATTTCAAGTGCCTCAGCAAAATTAATTAGCTTGGAGGGAAACACCTGATTTCCAATCTAAACATCATCGCTGACATTTTTAAAAAATGCTATAAAATAATATAAATAGTGAATCCAATATAAAGCCTTAGGATTGCATGAATTCCCAATTGCAACATCAAACTATTTAGTCTATTTAACTACATTCATCTCAGGAAATGTTTGCAGCAGAACTGGGTAACACACCTACGCACTATTTAAAAGTCCTCATAGTAGGTAATGAAAAATAAGCTTCTGGAACTTAACTACTTTACAGAAATTAATAGTGACCACTTCTGCCTGAGGACTCAAAGGCTTTGAGGCCTGTGGGAAATGAAACACTGGGAGAAGAATAATTTCCGTATTTGCAATGCCACTGGGCCGTGTGTGACGGGCGAGGGGCTGGCACTGGGCTGGCTCTGCTGGCCCCGGGGGCTTAGGGACACTCTGGGAGCAGCACTGACCTGTGGCACTGCTGCAGCAGCCACTGCAGCTGCGGGACGGAGCCGGGCACCAGCGCAGCCCTGACCGCGAACGTCACCGGCTGGGACAGCGGCTGGCACAGCCGCCACATCTCCTGCACCGCGGGCCACTCGTAGCCTGGGGACACACAGGACACTGAGAGCCCTGGGGACACACAGGGCACTGAGAGCCCTGGGGACACTCGGGACACTGAGAGCCCTGGGGACACACAGGACAGTGAGAGTCCCTGGGGACACACAGGACACTCAGAGCCCTGGGGACACACAGGACAGTGAGAGTCCCTGGGGACACACAGGGCACTCAGAGCTCTGGGGACACACAGGGCACTGAGAGCCCTGGGGACACACAGGACAGTGAGAGTCCCTGGGGACACTCAGAGCCCTGGGGACACTCAGAGCTCACACAGACTCTGGGGACAGACACAGTGTCCCTGGGGTCCCTCTGGAGACACAAAACCTGCACATCCAGCATTCCTGAACAGCAGGCACTTCCACCATGGAACTGCTCCGTGGCTCTGAGCAACAGATGTCCCAGAGGAAAAATGCAATAAATGCAATATCTACATGGACAATGAACTTGCTGTGAAAACCTTTATTTCCTATACTTAACATACATGCTTACTTACTTTACATACACTACAGAATGTGGCATTTTTAATGTATCTTTGTCCTTTCTCTAAAAAACTCTGCTGCCACTGACTTCAATATGGCCTAGTTTAACATTGTCAGGGTCCCTTTACAATAAAAACATTAAGAAAAAATTAGGACAAAAATTAAATTAATCCACCAGCAATGAAGATATAGAAAATCAAAAACACATGGCCAAAACCATTCTGTGCCTAAAAATGCTACAATCAAGCAACCTAAAATACTGGAAGTGCCTTTGCTAGTTTTACAAGGACTGGAGCTATTTCAAATTATATTTACCTGTTCTTTTGTTTCTACAGGCTATGAAAATCCTATAACAGCAGTTAATAAGTTTTTCCTCAATTGCTCAGACAGAATGTGGTGACTAGAAAGAGTAAAATTACACTAAATATTAAAAGAAGTTTTCTGGGGCAAGCAGCAACTTTTAGGTGAAATTACTCAAATGAGCTGGTTTTCTTACGTTTTACAGCAGAACCTCACATAGTATTTCCATAAAGAAATTTAGAATGGAGATACAATGAAATTTGTTTTCACAGGTTAGCCAGTATTTCTAATGCATTTTCCAGCAATTTTTTCCTGCACTGAAAATACTTGGGAGAAAGCACTGAAAACTTTAATAACACTGCAGTATATCATACAACAAAATACTAAATCTTGCTAATGAGTAAGGAGAAATGGGAATGGTGCAAAATGCTGCCATGGTGGCCTCAGACAATATTGGAGGGGACTCTGCTTCTCATCATGACAATTCCAAGAGAAAGCTTGTGAAAAAGACCCTATAATAATAAAAATTGGAAAGTTTACTGCAAAACATTCAAGTTTCCAAGAGAAATGAAGGGATAAGGCTGACCCAAAACTTGATTTCAGTGACCAAAGAAAGCAGAGATGAAGTTCCACATTTTCAGGTGATCTGTTTCTCCTCAGGACAGATGCCAGGGCTCCGACCAGACCAATGCTCCCAGGATTCAGGGACAGCCCTCCCTGAAACACAGGCTGAGGAGCTTGTCCCTCAGAAGTGCTCAGCAGTGAAAAGGAGTTGAAGCACAAGCCAGCTTACTTTAGGAACAGAAAGATGTGATTTTCCCCCAGTTCCACTGCCACTGCAGCACTGCCCTGACTGCTGCACAGCACTCTGTCCAACACTGTGGGGGACAGAATATAAGAAAATAAAGATGGTGCAGAAAGTAATCTCAGCCCTAAGGAGTCGCAGCTGGGCCAGTTATCAAAGGTGAGGAGCAGGCCTGACTTTAGCAGGCCACAGCTGTCACCAAGAAGAAGAAGATGCTGTAAAAGAGTGGGTTGGCTGGCTGGGGAGGAGCTGGAGTCAGCTACTTTGTGAAGGAGGCAAGAGCCAGTGCTCTGAAGAGCTGCCTGTGAAACCACACCAAGAAGGTTTGAAACTTGTGTGACAAAGACACAACAGTATGGGACTTTTGCAATAATATGACAACACAAGACCCCAGCACGGGACAGGGTTCCACAATCACTGCCAGGACACGTCCTGGGGCTGCTGCCAGCTCACACACACGGGAAGCAAAGGAGCGCTGCCCTTACCTTGCCCTCGGTGGCAGCCTGTGGTCCAGCCCAGGGACAGGGTGGCCTCGGGGCAGGAGGAGGTGACAGCGCCCAGGAAGGCGCGGGCGTCCAGCGGCGCGCAGCTCCCGCAGGGCCCAGGCAGGATGTCCCCGTTCAGCCACACGGGTCTGTCCAGGGCCTGCCCCAGCTGCCCCAGCAGCTCCAGAGAGGGTCCCACGGCGGCCAGGCTGTGCCGGGATGCAGGGCAGGGTGAGGGCCGGCAGTGTCACCGCGGTGTCACCGCACGTGCCGGTGCCATCCGCTGACTGCCCCTGCAGGAGTGAAACCCCGGACTGCCACCCCTGCTCCCAGCCCTTCCTGGCCTCACTCACGACCCCCGGCCTTGTCACCTCTCCATCTCAGGCCTCAGGAGGGGTCTAACAAAGGAAGCCACTGCAGTGTCTAACACCTGTGTGTCATCAGACCTGAAAGCCACAAAGGCTGCAAGTTCAGTCCAAAGAGTGAAAGCCATCGCTCCCCACCTTAACCACGCTCAAAGGGGCTAAGAGCTCAGCACTATGTCACATCCAGACTCAGAGCTACCTTCAGATCCATGCAAGGTGATGCACCTTTACTAGGAGAATAAAAAGCCCAACACAGACCAATTTAAGGCAACTGAAAGAGAGAAAAGGCACCCACTTGAACATTTAATGCCTGGTTGTGGTTTGTCCCGCAGCTCCCAAGTGTGGCAGCACACAGAAGCCTGCCTGTCCAATGATCATCCGACAGATGATTATTAAATTGTTAAACATGAGCTGGCATCACTTGAGGAAACAGTGCAGACACTCTGAGAGCATTTAAAAAGAACTATGGTCACATATTCACACTGTCCTGTCCAGCCACAAGAAGAAGCACAATTACCTTTTCCCTACTTCTAGCCTACCAAAACTTTTGAAGCACTGTGGAAGGAAAGGAGATGGTTAACAGTGGTGAAAAGAAATGAACACCAAGAAAAATCTTCTTTCTGTCACAACCCATTAATTAATGCACTATGTAACACTGAGGAATTTAAAATCACTGTGGTCAAAGTTCTAGAATTAGCTTAGTTCTACACCCAACAACTCGCCCCCTGAGCTGCTTGTCTTGTTTCCTCTGTAAAGTCGGGTTGTGTATTCTGCCTTTTGTGGTGCTGGGAAGGCTGCAGAGAGCAGGGATTCCACTCACTGCAGATGAGCTCAGGCTCTTCAGGAGCAAAGCCAGTGATGGCTGGTGTGAAGGAGTGGGCTGCAGCATTTCTGACAGCCTGGGGCCAGAACAGTTGCTATCCTCACATATGCAAGGGACTGTCAGGCCCAGAGGAATGCCTCCCCTCGTACTGCAAAGTGTAAGGTAACGCAGTGAGAAAAAAGCACAAAGCAAATGGCAACACAGGGTTAAAAAAAAAAAAAAATTAAAAAAAGAAGGAAAAAACAAAGCAAAAACAACAACAATAAAGATATCCACTCCCAAAAAACTGCAAACCCCAGAGCACTGGTTTTGTTGCACTGCATTTAGAAAACTCAGACTTACTGCTGACTTTCTGTGAAATGACTTTGGCATTTCTGAAGTGGGACACTGAAGACCTTTTGCAGAATACATTAATTTCAGTAGCCAAAGCCAGCAGGAAATGTAATTATGTGGTCAATCAGGCTGAGAGAGCAGAGATATAAAAAGTATATTTTTGAAGCACCACTGAAATTATCTCCACAACTTCAACAATGGCATCCAATTAAATATTATGCAAAGGAACATCAAATTCTGTTATCACTTATTTGACTCTATCTGCACCGTGTGATGCACTTTTAAATGTTTTTATACAATCATACTTTTATAATGCCATGTACTTTTAAAAATTTTCTTGAATCACTCCACTTGGCTGTAAACTCCTGGTGGAAAAATGAAGGTAGGTAGTTTAAAATTAATTTAAACAATACATGAAATGGAGGAAAAACTTCACCAAAATTCACAAGAAATAAGCCCAAAAAAATGCCTACTACTTTTTTTCCCCTTCTCTGCCCAGAAGGACACACACAGATGCTGTGACAATAAAAAGGATTTAGCCTGCCCACGTTTTTTAGTTTCATGAACTTTCACATGAAAACGGTGACTGTGTAACACAGAACCACAGGCATAAATCCCATTTTACAACTGTCTCCTGCGGGGTTTTGCATTTCTATGGAGTACCTCAGCACTGATGAAGCTCTTTCTAATTTGCTGCCAAAACAGACTGAGCACATGGAAATTCAGACAAAGCAAGAGTCAGGAGCTGAAGGGGTGCATGTCTGGAAATCAGAGCTCATTTCAAACTCTTCCAAGGCAATCTCAGGTGTGTTTGCCATTCGAGAAATGAAAAAGTAATGGTTCAAACTGTGAGGGAACCTCTGAACATTTAGTTAGTAAGGCAGAGAAAGGAGCCTTCCAGAGAGGCACCAGCACTTCAGCTTCCCAATGGGAAAGTTCTGCTCACAGTGCCTAATTCACTGAGTAAAACAAATCATTACTTGTAGTTCAAAACACTTCTAAAGGTTTTGCTCTTGCCATGCTTTGAGAATTATGGCCCATGTTTCCACATGGATTATGCTTCTGAATGCTAAACTGCACAACAAGGAGCAGTTTGGCTGACAATCACCTGCAGAACTGTAACAGGTAAGAATGCAAACAGCACAACAATCTTTTTGTCAAGATACCTCTTGAAGTCGAGCTTGATGCCTTTATTGGTGCTGCCCATCTGCGCCAGCCACTCCTGCAGGGTGATGTCGCTGTCGGTGTCAGGGGGGTGAGCCAGGATGGGCTCCCTGTCCCCTCCCCGAAGCACAACATCCACCTCCACCATGTGCACGTCGCCTGGGGATGGAGAAATTAAACCTCAGCTTCCCGTGCTCCGGGGCAACAACCACCCAGCAAGTCTGGCCACGCCAGCCCCTGCAGCCTCGCGCTGTCTGTGACACAAAAGATGCCGTGCTGGGGGGTTTCCAGGCACTGAACTCTTTGCAAGCCTACAAACAAGTGACAAGTGATGTTTGAGGGTGCATTTGGCCAAGCAACCACGTGGGGTTGTTTCCTTCACAAATGGACATCCAACATGTGAATCCACTCTTGTTAAGTTGCAGATATTTTCCTCTGGAAACAGGGTTCTTGAGAGAGGGAAGATGAGTGCAGGATTTAACACTGGCAGAGACTGAGCATTCCCCTTGACTCACTGCCAAAACCGACAAGGAAAATGTTAGCTGGCACACACGACAGGCAAAGAGGGGTCTCAGGAGTGCTCAGACTCCTGAAAACAGCTTTATGTAATGAACTTGGGCAGTGCTGCCAGCTTTGCAGAGAACCCAATACACACAGTGAAATACGAAAAAAAACAGTTAGTGATGGTATTCAGGATAAAGCATATTATATATACATTTACACAAGTATGTGTTTGTCAAATGTTCACATAAATTTACATACAATTCACTGCCACCCAGGCTGCTCCACCAGGGCCCTTCTGGCTCTGCACAACCTTTCCCTGCCAGGAGGGGACACACGGGAGATTTGGGCTCTGCTCCAGGAACAGGGACAGGAGCAGAGGGAACGGCCTCAGGCTGGGCCAGGGCAGCTCAGGGTGGGCACAGCAGGAATTTCCCCATGGAAAGGGCACAGGGATTGGAATTGACCAAGTGGGGTTTGGAGTGCCCATCCCCGGAGGGATTTAACAGCCGTGGGGATCCTGGAGGAGGGAGAGGAACAGGAGGAGGAGGGGGAAGAGGAAGGGGCCTGTGCCACACTCACTTCGCGCGGCCTCCGCCGCCCGGGCCCTGCTGTTGGCGGCGTGGAACCAGCGCACGGCGGCCCCGTCCCGGGCCGCGATGTGCCCGCTGCGCAGGAAGTGATCCACGGGCCACTCGCTCCAGGCGCCTGCGGGGACACGGCGGGGACATGGGGGGAGCCCTCAGCGCGGCCCGCCCGCCAGAGACCGGCCCGGCCCGGCCCCGACACCGCCCTGACGGCCCCGGCCCGGCCCCGAGACCGCCCCGACAGCCCCGGCCCGGTCCGGACAGCCCCGAGACCGCCCTGACGGCCCCGGCCCGGTCCGGACAGACCCGGCCCGGCCCCGACAGCCCCGGCCCGGCCCCGAGACCGCCCTGAGAGCCCCGAGACGGCCCTCACAGCTCCCACCTGGCCCCGAGACCGCCCTGACAGCCCCGGCCCGGCCCCGACAGACCCGGCCCGGCCCTCACAGCCCCCGCCCGGCCCCGAGACCGCCCTGACAGCCCCGGCCCGGTCCCGACAGACCCGGCCCTCACAGCCCCGGCCCTCACAGCCCCGGCCCGGCCCCGGCGCTCACCCCGCGCCCCGCTCGCCATGGCCCGGCCCCGGCCCGGTCCCGCCCCGCCGGGGGCTGGATGCCGCCGCCTTCGCGCCGGGCGGGGCCGGGCCGTGCTGGGGCACGGTGGGGAGTGTGTTAGGATGGTCCCGAGCGGGAATATCTGTCTCTGTGTGCTGTGGAGCCTCACAGGCAGGAAGGGCCCGAGGCGCGGACAGGGAGCGGCGGCAGCCCGCGGACACGGACAGCCGGGGCTCCGAACGCTGTGGCACCGGAGGCAGTCAAATCGAGAGAACGCAGACCTGAGCCGGGCCAGGGCAGGCTCAGGGTGGGCACAGCAGGAATTTCCCCATGGAAAGGGGGCTCAGGAACTGCCTTGGCACTGCCCAGGGGGGTCTGGAGTGCCCATCCCTGGAGGTGTCACCTGGAGGTGGCACCCAGAGCTCTGGGCTGAGGACAAGGTGGGGATGGGGCACAGCTGGGACTCCATGGCTGGGAGGGATTTTCCAACCGCGTTAATTCTGTGGTTGTGTGTGAAATCAGGATGTTGGCGCAAGCCCTGCGTGGCTGGCAGCCTGGTGGAGATGCTCAGGGCAGAAGCAGACCCAGCCCTGCAGGCACAGCCCCGGCCCTGGGCAGGGCAGAGCCCGGCCGGGGCCGCCAGCCCGGCGCAGCTCGGTCACTGCTGGCAGAGGGGCAGCGCTGGGGCAGACCCCGGCTCTGCTTTGTGTCAGGAACGCCAGTGAGGGCAGGGAGAGGGCAGGGCTGGGCTGGAGTCCTCTGCAGGGTGTCACTGCTGGCTGCTGCACGCTGAGCAATGAATCCCATTTTTGGGGCAACATCAGGAGTCCCAGAAAGCTGCAGAGACAGGACACACACATTCCAAATCTGTCTCTGTTTCATTACAAATAAGAGGCGGAAGGTTGCAAGCACTGTAGTTAACTTTATTGATCATTACTGCAAAGGAGTTAGTAGAGGTTAAGTGCCAAGAGGCAGCTGTTCCTTCAGGTGCCCTGACCCTGTCACAGACCCAAAACACTGTTCAGCCTCGTGCTCAGATCCCTCAAGGGCCTGGGTGCAGCTTGTTTTCAACAAGGACACGTTTTGTTCGTACTGGGCGTGGGTTCAGCCCTTCTCCCTAAGCACAGCTTCTCAGAAGTCAGCACAGAGGCTGAAATGCAGCTCAGCTCCATCCAGGGTAAGATCTCAACACCTGAACCCTTCCAGGACTGGAGTGTTAAAGCACAGATAACAGCAGAGCAGATTAGGTTAAATTACAAATTGTTTTTGATACAAAAACATAAAATATCCCCTATTAGCATCAAGAAGGCATCCAAGTTTTAATACTCTCATTATAAAATTGTACCAGCATTTTTACTGAAAACAATATAGATCTTGTATATACTTAGTTTTGGTTCTGTTCTCGACAAGCAGTTGTGTGGCTGCTACCAAACCCCAACTGCAGTTTCATGAACCTCCGTACAAATCACATGCATCACAAATACATAAATAGATCTAAATGACCCAGTATAAAAAATACATCCTATGCAAGAACCTCAGGTATACTAAAAATCCCAGAACGGTTTGGGTTGGAAGGGACTTTAAAGAGTCCCAACCCCACCTGCCACAGGCAGGGACACCTTCCACTAGAATCAACCTGTTTGTGAAAATCCAGACTCAATACATCTGTTCTCCCTGAAAACAAAGGTGGCTACTAAACTGTGGCAAAAGCAGTAGACAGGAGCAGAAAAAATACTGCAGAATTCTTGTCTGACTTATTGCTACATGTAGATTACATCCAGGGTAATCTGTTTTTTCCTAATCCTTGAAAGGTCAAATTGTGTATGGAATTCTGAACAGAGTAAAGAAAAAAAGCACATTTTATAAAAATAGCATCCATTTAAGTTAGACAAATCCATATAAATACAAGAAAGAAAACAGTTACTCTATAAAACATTAATTGAGAGCACATGTTCCTGAAGCACCAGCATCACATCCCCAGGTTAAGGCCCTCAGTGAGGTGTCCATCCACACAGCCACAGCGTTCCCCTGCGCTGCCAGAGCTGCCCTGGCACACGGGGCTCCAGGCAGCCGCAGCAGCTCTGGGCTCCGAACCCCCGGGGAAAGGAAACCGTTTTGGGCAGCCCTGCTCCAGTGCTCAGCTCCTGCAGAGCTCACACGGGACCCCAGCAGCTTTAGTAGCACACTGCTGTGAGGGCAAGAGGCAAATCCTACGACTTGGAGTCACACTGCACCTGAAAGTGCCGCCGCTGTGTGAGAGTAACAGAACCTGCACTCTTCTGCACCTGCATTAAGTGTCAGCCTTCAGAACTTCATGACACAGACTAACTGTTTTGTGGTAGAGGAAGCAGAGAGGATCTGAGGGGCTTTAAGAAAACATTTTTAAAAGCTATTAAAACATAAAAGGTTTAGAAACTTTAACATTTCTAGTGTTTGTAGCATTACAACTTTGGTGTTCAGATCTAGCAAGTCAGCATGTAATCAGCCTCATCAAGACAGGTGTTCTATGATGAAAAACACTAATTCCATTTTCAGTGGTAGAGCTGCAGGATCTGACATTCCACTGTGAATCACAGGAATCAGAGCACTGTCCAAGTCGTTCAGGTAGCTCTGTGGAAGAAGGAGCCCTCCCGATCCTGCTAAGTATTCAACCTAGGAGGGAAACATACTGATATTAATTAACACTGCTTGCATTAACAAGACTATGCAAAACGTGCTGTATAACAGTAAAAGAATATTTCAGCTACTCTGAAGTGAGAAATTAATGACTAAGACAGCTTCTTCCCCAAATGTCATCCTCAGCCTGGATTGTGGGAATGACAAAACTCGAAACATTCCTGGAGAGAGCCAAGGTATTTACAAGGCAAGGTACTTCAGTGGAAATGGAGAGTGTGCAATAAAAGTTGAAAGCTTACCATGTCTGAATCAATGGAAACTCTGAGTCCTATCTTATTCATCCCGTTGTTTTTCAGGGTTTTCAGGTGAGGGCAAAGAGCAGTGCTGCAGGCAATGGCAATCTCTTTTGCAAACTGGTGGGGAACAGCACTGGAGAGTTCATGATCCTTTACAAAATGGTAAACCTGGGATCAGAGAAAGGGAAGGGCACTCAGCAGCCTGGTACATCCCAAAGTTAGGAACAAGAGTAGTTCAGGATCATGTAACACCAAACAGAGCAAGGTTTGATGCTTGTCTGCTGGCAAAGCACCTGAGCATTTCATCCACACAATCAAAATCCTTCAGGAACCATGGGAATGCCTGCATTAGGCATTCACAGAGCTGTCACTGCCAACAGCCTGGAGTCTCTTTCAGAGGAGAGAAATGACAAGTGTGTAAACTCACCAAGCAGCTGCAGAGAACACTCTGCCTGGCAGGATGGCTACACATAAAATCAGCTCGTTTTAACAGGATCACTTACTACCATCACATTACCACTTAAACATTCAAAAATTAATTAAGGAGGCTCAAGAACTGTGTAATTCACTAACTTCAGTGCACTTCATAGCTTTTCCCTCTCTTTCGAAGCCTCTGTATAGTGGTGCTTTTTCACTCAGAGTTCCTTCCATTGATTTTCCATCAACTGGGCTTAAAATTCTACAAAAAACAACAGTGTGGTTAGTAATTTAAACAACACTTATAGTATAGATACAGTAACTTCTATGAAACAATATTTACCCATCCTTTAAGGCTATTTAAACATCTTTACAACAAAGGATTTGCACTATGAAAATACAGATGGTACAAAAGGAAATATCCTAAACAGGGAACTAACAGCATTAACAGAAACCTAATCTTGCAGGTTTAAGACACTACATACCATCTTTGGTATCAAGCACTTTCTGTCACAAGAATACATCAGATTAATTTAAAAAAACTGAAGGGAGATATTTGAACACTGGGAGCAAGACATCTCTCAGACGTCTGGCTTTGGTAGCACATTTACCCTTTGTTGGTTTTCTCTTCATTTTCTACCCAGCAAATATCTACATATTCTTTCACATCCCCTGCATCCACTTGTCCACAGGTTATTTTGAAGTCTTTCTTGTCTCTTAATGCCTGACGTAGACTTTCCATTGTTTCTCGTGTTATTTGTACCATTAGCCCATCTAGAGGAAAAACAGTTAAAATTCCACATTATCCACACAAAAAGCAGCACAGCTTCTTATAGAATCTTGGCTTAAATTCTACTGAGACCAACCATCTCCTACAGCTAATTAATAAATGCACAAAAGTACTCCATGCCCCACCTACAGCACTAAATGTTAAATGAAAGAGGAAGAAAACCTATTCTGTCAACAGAACTCAAACTAAAAGATAATTTTAAAGTTAATTTTTGAAAGTTTTTTTGCATATATGTGCCAATACATGTATTTCAGCAATATGGCAATGAAAATACTTCCACAAAGGAAAGACCTGCACTGCTTAAACAGAGTTTAAATTTGAATGTTTTAAAACAAGTAGGTGACCTATCATGTATTTTTTTGCAGCACTTCTTTGCAATAGGTTTCATACAAAATTTAAAAACCTGAAAAGAAATATTTAGCTTGCTGAGGTATAAAGACCTTACACAAGACCTTGCTGCTATTTTTTTTTTTCTTTTTAAGTCTCTTAGGAGGAGAACAGAACAAAATTCTTACCTTCAACTATACTGGATTTAGCTAAAAATCCTGAGGATGTTTTTAGGGCTCCATTAAACACCACAAAACTTGCACCTGTAACTAGACAAAGTAGGAAGGAAGTCAGCACCACTTTGTGTAACTCCAGTCAGTCATAACTGACAATAAACACAATTTCACGTGACACCAGAGATGCACTTTCCATGCAGCTTAACACTGAACTTCCATTTCTGCTCTAGAAATGAGATTTCTGTCCCCCAGAGCTCTTACCTTCCCTGGGCTGTCCCGTGGCACTGATGGCCTGGGTGTGATAGAGGCCCTGCTTGTTCTGCACACACACCAGGTGAGAGTCGGCCTCAGTATTGAAACTGGCTCCAATGCTAATTACGTGTTCGTTAGAGGAATTGATCACCTTCATCACCTGTCAA